CCACTGGAAGAGCATCCACTGCATCAAACATATGCTGAAATAGTTGGTAGTTCATTCCACTGTGGAGACCCCTGATAAATGAGGGACTAAGCCGAAGGAAAATTAATGAATGAAATGGATTTTAATTAACAAGATTTTCATCTTAAGATATTCATTTCTGTATTAATTACTAATGATGACCAATACATATAGAATCATTTCAAAATACTACAGAGTTACAATATTACATTTGGTCTGTTGAATCCTGCTATACCTTATGCAGTACAGTATATTCATGTGCAGGTATGTGATAAATTTATGTATTATTATTATTATATAAATGACTATATATAAATAATATATAATATATTATTATGTATAATTATATATAATTAAAAATGTATATATATTTATTATTATTATTATATACATGACTGCGTAACATATTCATGTTAAGCCACATCTGCACATGTTCATATAGAACACAGAAATTTTAGAATCAAATCTGGCACTGGATTTTATAATTAGTTTTATATAAAAACAAAACATGTCAGTGGTATTTCTGATGGTAATTTAGATTTGCCAAGTAAGTGTGTGTTTTTGTGTGTGTTTAATGGTAGAAGTAGCAGACTGGCTAGTTTCTCAATATCTGGGCGTCTGGCACTCAGTGAGGTCTGTCCCACACGAGAGACGGCCTGTCAGCAGTCCTCTGTATATATGTGTGTGTGTGTGTGTGTGCTGTGTGATCTGGTAAAGCCATTCGCCTCCTGTCATCTACTTCTCACTGTTTCTGTTAGCTCTCAGTGTGTCTTCGTCGATTTACCTTCCACTCAGGCTTCATAACAGCTGTAGGTGCGTGTGTTGGTGTCATCAGTAGCTGACTGATGTCTGTTTTGTTTGAGACATTCTTTGATCTTTAAAAAAAAGGTTACATGTTACCTTCTGTTGGATTTGCGTTTACGTAACACAAACCCAATGACAGCTGCTGTTCCTGTTTTTTTTCTTAGAGCGTACAGTATATAGAGCGCACTTGGATTTGAAGTGACTTTCAAAATGACACCAGTCCAGACTAAATTGTTTCCTTAAAACTTAATTGTTCTTAATTTTTTTTTGTTTAATCCAATGTTGAAAATAATTGGATTGTCTCACACTGTAATATACACTCAACGGCCACTTTGTTAGGTACACTGCCCCAACTGCTCGTTAATGCAACTTTCTAATCAGCCAATCACATTGCAGCAACTCAATGCATTTAGGCATGTAGACATGGTCAAGATGATCTGCTGCAGTTCAAAGCGAGCATCAGAGTGGGGCAGAAAGGTGATTTAGGTGAATTTGAAATGCAGAAGACCATCACTGAACGCACAACATGTCGAACCTTGAGGTGGATGGGCTACAGCAGCAGAAAACCACACCAGGTGCCACTTCTGTCAGCTAAGAAAAGGAAACTGAGGCTACAATTTGCACAGGCTCACCAAAACTAGACAACAGAAGATTGGAAAAACATTGCCTGGTCTAATGAGTCTCAATTTCTACTGCGACATTCGGATGGTCGGGTTGGAATTTAGCATCAACAGCATAAACAACATGAACAACAAACTGCCTTGTATCAATAGTTCAGGCTGCTGGTGGTGGTGTAATGGTGTGGGGGATATTTTCTTGGCACAATTTGGGTCCATTTATGACAATTGAGCATTGTGTAAATGCCACAGCCTACCTACGAATTGTTGCTGACCATGTCCATCCCTTTATGACCACAGTGTGGCCATCTTCTGATGGTTACATCCAGCAGGACAACAAGCCATGTCATAAAGCACGAATCATCTCAGATTGGTTTTTTAAACATGACAATGAGTTCACTGTACTCAAAAGGCCTCCACAGTCACCAGATTTCAATCCAATAGAGCACCTTTGAGATGTGCTGACAAATCTGCAGCTATGTGTGATGCTATCATGTCAATAAGGACCAAAATCTCTAAGGAATAATTAAAGTATCTTGTTGAATCTATGCCAAGAAGGATTAAGGCAGTTCTGAAGGCAAAAGAAGGTCTAACTAGGTACTAGTAAGGTGTACCTAATAAAGTGGCAGGTGAGTGTAGATCAGAACATGACCTCCTTTCTCAGTGTATTAGTCCTTTGGAAGTGCACGCAAGATGATTTTGCAACACAAAAATACAGTAGCTTCACAGCATGTCTAAGTGAGGATGTTTGATGGTCAAAGGGTTTATTATGAGCAGCCAATGAGAGTCATTAAAAAGCATAATGTTACAAATCTGTGTCAGTTTGTGCATTAAATAAGGCAGAAATTATTGATTACCCTTTTCAGGCAGTTCACTATCAGTTTAGGTATATTTTGAAGTATCGCATGAGAAACAAGTGTTGGAATAAAAATCCATTTTAAAAATCCAATAATTAATCTATTGATCAGTGAAAAAGTTATTTTACTCGCTTTAGGAAGACTTAGGGCTAATGTGAATAATTGGAGATAAACACTGGCTGTTTCTCAATATGCATTCTTCAGCGGTCTTGTGTCCTCGTGTTCTCGTGCAACGTCATCATCAGCTGCCTAAGTTCAGTTCCAATACTCAAGACCGCAAGTACGGAGGACGCATGAAACTTCCCGGATGTGTTCTTGATATCTAGGACGCACTGATGCAGACTTGAGCACCGAACTCGCTCTGGAAGTCCCAGAAGTCATTGCGACTGGATGTGGGAAGCGCAGCATTTTATTTAGATTTATTATTAAAGTTCAGAGATATCATTTATTTACCTCAGGAGTTTCCCTAAATGAAACGGTGAAAGTAAACATTAACATGAACATCTTAATAAAGGAATAAACACATTAAGGGTGTTTGTTTGCTGAAATTTGTATTAAAATGTGTTTTATTTATATTGTGCAGAGTATATTTATCATGTTTTTATGCAAAGTATATATTTTGAAGAGGGGAAAAACAATAAATCGCTGTATGAATGCTGTAATGTTTAAATAATTTCCATTTAAAACACGTGAAGGTCACGTGACCATCAGGAAGAACGCAGCATCCTATTTCTCAAAGGACGCATTCTCTGCTCTCGCAGTCTCCTGAGTTCGTTCTTCCGAGGACACCTGGCAAGACCGGTCTCCACAAGAACACAAGTCCATTCTCTGCATTCTTGGAATTGAGAAACAGCCACTGTCTAAGAGCACTGTAGAGAGCATTACACCTGTGACCAATCAGCTGTTCTCATTATGCGTGCCTTGTTTACTGTTGGTTACTATGTTACCAATCCTACAGTCAGCCACTCTAACAACTTGATAAAAATGTGCCTAATTCACTTTGTTTCATAAGCTTTGAATTGATTTTCGTCACATTAGGATATAAACCTAGCTAATAACTTAAACACTTCATAAAAGATAATATTTAAACTTTGCAATTGTAATATTTGAATATTTGCACTTTAAAATTTCCCTCTGTCCATCACACAGAGATATCAGAAACAAAACACACTTAAATTTAGACAGCCTATTCGAATGTTATCACTTGATTGAATTGGCATTATCAGTGGTTATTAGCTGATAGATATCGGCCAGTAGGGGCCTTCTGCGCCTACTGGTAAGCTCAGAAGGCTGTTATACTCCATCTACATGGTTTATCAGCTATAGATCACATATGGCTGCGGCCAGAAGTTAACGAGAATTATTTATATTGTTTATTAAATTTTCCATTAATTGTATTTTATTAACATACCCCAACCCTGAACCCAACCATCACTTTTAAGTAAAAACAAATTTGGAGTCTTCTCTATTAGTATTGCTGATTAACCATGTGCATGGATGATAATAGCCTTCTGAGCCTACCAGTAGATGCTGAAGGCCCCTACTTACCCATGTCTATCAGCTGATAACCACTAATAATAACTCCCATTCAATCGAGTGATAACATTCAAAGCGGGTGAATTTAGAAGGGTTTTGTAAGGTTTTATACAATTAATCTTATTTTATGTTATGATTCACAGAAGAAAGTCTTGTGCTTAAGCTTCCAAAAATGTTTGTTGCTGTTACTAATTTGTTTGTTAGTATTTTTGAATAAACAACCCTTTAATAAGATGCCCTATGGAGTATGGAACGGAAATGTCAGCAATCGAGAAGAAAAAAAAAAAAACAACAGGAGCAGGAAGTGAAACAGAAAACTTACTGGAAAATATCGAGTCATGCCAGAAGTTTATCAGACCCTAATTTAAATCACATTCTCCCTAATCCACTGAAATAATTAAGTAGGTGAGCAGATGAGGATGTGGGTAGCTTTCTTTCCACATAGTTTTGCAGCTTACATCACTTAAATTGAAATAGACTATTTTAGGAAACTGCTTCCTGAAAATTTTTCAGACAAAGGTGCGAAAGTCTGTGCTATTATAAAGATTTATTAGATAAAAAAGTCTTACAGTATAAGTTGTTAATATTAATAAAACACTATAATCATTGTCAATTATTTGATCAGTAATGGTAGCCTGAGTAAGATAGGAAGGTATTAGAGATGGAGTTGTGGCCACTTTGTCTAAATCCTGCAAGAACTGGGTCTGATCCCAGAGTTGTTTGCCCCCCCCCCTCTCTCCCTCTCTCTCTCTCTCTTTCTCTCTCTCCCTCTCTTTTGCTTTTATTTTTTTCTTTAGTCACCTCCTCATGTTCCAGAGACTGAGATATTGGACCAAGGACAAAAAAAATGGGATGGGGGGTTTGGGGGATGGACGAAAAAGGAATCAGACGGTCACCGGGGAACACGTACAGGACGACTAAGAAAAGACAAGACAACAGAAAGAGTTTCTGCCTTCCTCCAGCCTCTCTCTCTCTCTTTCTCTTCCTCTCTCGTTTCACTTTCTTAAAGCTGAACTCCTGAGCCATTCTGCCAGACACTGCCTGCTAAAGTGTGTGTGTGTGTGTGTGTGTGTGTGTGAGAGAGAGTTGTTTATGAAAGTCATGCAGTTCAGACTGATGGATTTTTCTGTCTTTTCTCTGTTGATGTCTCTGCTCTGCTGGGCTGCAGTGGGGAACCACACAGGCCGGATCAAGGTGGTCTTCACTCCGACTATCTGCAAGATGACCTGCACCAACGGCCGCTGTCAGAACAGCTGTCAGAAGGGAAACACCACCACTATCATCAGTGAGAACGGACACGCCACCGACACGCTCACCGCCCCCAACTTCAGAGTTGGTGAGTGGCATTCACACCTTTTCTCTGGGTTTTGTGGGAAAGAATCCTTTCATTCATGCAGGTCTTTGAAGGCCATCTAATTCTTTTGTTGTGTGTATGTGTGATCATTTGCGTTTGTACTGTACACCGAACGGAGAACAGCTGGCCGTGGGCCTGTTACATCATGTCCAGACGTAGACAGCTCTATAATTATGGCTGATGTTTGGATGTGTTCTAGTCACTGTTCGGAGGGAAGTTTTCACTTGTCTGGCAGATAACGCGGAAAACTTTTAGATGCTTTAGAATGCGCTTAAAAAACTTCTACTATTGGATGTTGGTTCTTTTTGCTACATTTCCCACTGTGATATTTCACAGTGAGGGCTCAGAAAGGGCTGGAGATCATGTGGTTGAGACAGAGCAGAATGTCTTCTGCACGCTGGTTCAGATGATCAACATTCATTTACTGCCCAAATCAAGTCCTGCATGGAGAAAGAGCATTCTGAAATCTTCAGAAACATCCTCACAGTATTTGTGTAACCCAGTCATTTTCATTCTGTTTGGGGGACAAAAAAATATCCTTGGTGGAGTTTTTTTTATACTTTGTTGTTTGGTAACTTTTTATTACTATTTGTACAGATTGTGGTGTATTTATTTGTAGGTAATAATAATCAAAATGAAAAGTCTGCATATGACATTTGTTAAACACCATCTGGACTTTGCAATTAACAAGAAAATGCAGCCTCATGTCTGTCATGAGTGAAAGTGTCTTTGTTATTGGCAGAAATATTTGTAAAAAATTGAAAAAAGACACAGGAGTCTTTTTTTTAAGCATTATTTTCAACATAAGCTTATTGTAAAAACGTAACCCTATATACATTTCTGGAGATCCTGAATTATGTAGCCAGAGCTATGTATGGCTGCATTTCAGCTTTAAAATGATTCCTGCGGGCTGTATGATGCCGTTCCCGTTCTCGGTTACCTGCTGACTGCTTACCTCTGTATGGACGGCTTTTGTGCAGTTACCAGTTTGTCTGGTAGCTCGACATATACGTCAGTGGACTTGAGAAGCAAAGTTGACCTCGACAACAGGGTTCCAGTCTGGTGAAGAACTGTTTCAGAAAGCGAGTAAGACAAAAAACAAAAGCTTAAAAATAAAATAAACAAGTAAATAATAGGGTGAGGATGTGGTAAAATCTGAAAACATGGTAAAAATTAGAGGGCTTTTCTTTTTGGGTTGGGTTTAGGGAAGTGTGTGGGCGGTTTTAGGGAATGGGGAGGATGGGAGGATCGGTTGGTTGGTTAGTAAGTCAGTCAGTTGACAGCGGCCTCTGGTGGATTTACATGAGAACAGAAGGCACAAATGATACTCGCAAAAGAAGTTTGAGATCTGAAAAAGCATACACAGTGGCCTTTGGCAGATTCGCTAAAACAAAAACTGCAAAAAAAAAACGTAGCTCCTGGTATGTATTTTGCTCTTTCTAGTATTGTAAATAATTGTACGTAATCAGAATGAGGCTGGGTTGTACTTTTTTTTTACACTGACTCGTTGTTGATGTAAAGTTAAAATTCTATAGTCAATTACAATTAGCATCTGTATTGTATTACATTAAATTTATGAATATAATGGTGTTTAAGTACCCCAATATTAAATTAAATTAAATTAAATTAAATTAAATTAAATTAAATTTCAAAAGTTGTTGCTAATATAATACTCATTCATTTTCTTTTCGGCTTAGTCCCTTATATATATTATATGTTCCTATATAATTTAATATAATATAATATAATATAATATAATATAATATAATATAATATAATATAATATAATATAATATAATATAATATAATATAATATAATATAATATAATATAATATAATATAATAAAGGAAACAATACAACTATTAATGAAGTGCAACCAAAATAGTAATGATTAACAATCTGAGTTTGTTTAATTAATGAATGTTTGACCATGACTTACTAAAGAGACTCTTAACTCTTTTCTGAAAGTTCAGAAAAGGTTTAGGAAACACTTGTGAAATCCATTCTAAGTCCAGACATTTGTTAAGCTCTAGCTAGCAAGGTGCTTGGTCCTCTCTAAGCCACTATATTGGTGGATGGATACTCTGTGCCTTACTTTGAGAATAAAGTAGACAATTTTTTTGCACATATAGTTACATAAGGCTTACTTTAAAATCCAATTACTCTGTGGACACAAGGGTAGCATTGAGCTAGGGCTTGTTTTCACCAGTGGGTTTTGTAATCAGCACTCAGCAGGGTAAGTGGCTGAAATTGTATTCCATATAAGAGGGTCAGGAAAGCTCAGAGGAGTAAGTGTTCAGACAGATCTTCTCAGAATAAGCTGAGGTTGTGCTTGGTGCTAAGATGTCATTCTCTCTCTCTCTTTTGCTCTGTTTGTCTGAATGAGGTGAGCGTCTGGAGTGTGTGCAGCCTTATAAGGAACACAGAGCGTTCTGTCAGCTCTGATACAGACGTAGCAGGGAGGAGAGATCGCAGGCCAAAGAGAATTGACGCGCACACATTATGTTTGGATCAATACCAATATTTTAGCTTCGGTACTCTGAATCAACCTCGCACTGATAACTTAAGCAACAGATTAACAACTTGAATGATAAATGATGAGATCTATAATCAGATTCAGTAATTCCACTTCAGAAATTTTTCAAAACAAATTTGCAATAATTAAATATAACCATATTTGTATAGCCTGTCTCATATGTGTAGTTAAGTATCATATAGTATATGTTAGTTACGCATACGTTTTTTTAAAATAGCTCTTGTGTCCAGGGTTGTGTTTGTATTTATGATTCCTTTATGTAGCACTGTTGTCCTGTGAGACTCCACACATGTAGCGGAATGACAATAAAGCTTGATTTGACTTGACTATAAATTTATGTTTTAACAGTATGTACCTGAGAATAATGTATGAGCTATGATACGATCGCATATAGTCATTGTTATTGAAACAATCAATAATTTTTTGGACAATATTATAGTAAAAGCATGAATTATAAGAAGTAATTTAATTATATTTGGAATTTATTATGTATCACAAATTTATGCTAGTTAAAATATGATGAAAAGTAAAATGTATCACAAATTCAACTAAAATCTGAAGCAAGGGTTCGAAACACTTTATTATAAACAAAAAATCATTACGAATGATTGAGCACTGATAATAATTGTTCATATCAGAGCAGTTAATCAGCATATTAAAATAACTTCTGAAGAATCATGTAACACTAACGACTGTTGTAATGATGGAAAAAGAAAATAGCCTTGAATCACAAAAATGCAGTAAATAGCTGTTTAAAATAGAATAAAACATATACATAGACATAAAAAACTGTTGTTTTAAATTAAATTAATATATTTACAGTTTTTTACAATTATTTTGCCACGAATTTTAGAACCCTAGTGTCAATTTTCAAAACTCAGACACAAATATCACAACCATTGCCAAAATTGCACATTTTTTGCAAAACACTTAACTCATTTTTTTCAAATGCTTGTATACCATACACACAAGTCAAAGATATTTTCTTCATTAAACTAAAATCACAATTTCATAATCAAATTGATCCCATTTCAAAATGCAACTCAAACATTACATTTAAAATAAATGTGTATTCATTTAAATAACATCACAAGCAAAGAGCATAGAATCACCAAGAGGCGACACTCTAGTGTGATTAAGAAAACAGCCCCTAGATGGTGCGGTGGCTATTGAAATGAAAACTCCAAAAGAACAACAGCATATTATAAGTATGTAAAATATCGATTGAAAGTGCTGATGATTGTGATAGTAAGTGTTGTATTGTCGTCCGTCAGGTTGTATCTCAGCTTTAATGCGCTTTTTAAATAAATAAATAAAAAACAAAGCAAATGTCTGCCATCACGACAGCAATAAGATCCAACGGACGGCCGATCGCTTTCACTCCAAAATGGCGGAATCCCCCAACTGTTGCTGGGCGCTGCTGTTGCAATGGAACGTTCTATTGAGTGTCGCCTCCTGGTGATTCTAAGCTCTTTGGTATGCCCTGGCATTCTGTTTAAATGGGGAACATCAAATTCTCCAAAACTGCTTGCTAAGCTTATGATTAAATTTCATATTACGAATAACCAAAAAAATTTAACAACGACTGTCTATTTAGTTTCATTTCTAAATGTTTGTATCACACAAAATCTGCAGAAACTCATGTCTGGTCTGAGCACCTCCCCTGGAGAATTGTCATTTTATTGCTATCGCTGATTGGCTCCTGTACTAAGGGCGGGGCTTCATTTGCCATATTGACTGTTACACCTTTCCCTTATTCAAAAGTATACAAGTGACATTTCTTCTGTATTCTGTAGACTTTGTTGCATTACTCCTGATGCATAGAAACTAATGTAATATTAAATTGTTGATGGAACTGATCTAAAATTACATTTTTAGATGATGAAATTTTCTGGATATATCAAATGACATCAGTTACCACAGAAGATGTCCCAACTGGATTACATTATCTATAGATTTCATTTTTTATTCATCCTTATTCCATATTTATGCTTTCTTTGTTTCATGTACCACTTTTACAGACAATGTTTTCATACTTGATAATACTGTATTTAAGAAAGCCCACAGTACCACAGCAGACCAATGTCAGGTCTCGATTCACATTGACAGAAGGTTCTTTCTGAGATTCTTGACTAATGTAAACCCCACTGTTATGTAGAGGAGAACCTGTGGCCAAATCCACAACACCTGACTGATGGAAATACAGATCCCAAATAAAAATCTGATATATGTAAATATATGCAAATTACATATGTGATGTGCTAGTTCAAATGTATTTCACACATATATATATATATATATATATATATATATATATATATACCCTGCTGAAAAATCCAGCTTAAACCAGCCTAGGCTGGTTGGCTGGTTTTAGCTGGTTGACCAGCCTGGTTTTAGAGGGGTTTTGGCCATTTCCAGGCTGGGTTCCAAATGACCAGCTAAATC